TTTTTTTTTTTTTTTTTTTTTACTTCCAGGCTCTGTTAACATTAAAATATGTTTTTCAGAAGACGGGCTGGGAGTGCGTTACCTCAAGGGATTAGTGTGAATTAGATGCTGTTTTTTGGGGGTTGCGACAAACGAAAAAAAAAGGGAATCATTTGTATTCCCCAGAAAAGGAAATATCTTCTGGTGGCGCTCGAGATTTTTGCTGTTGCTCTTGTGAATCTGCCGTGATAAATTCACGGTATGATTAACCATAAAGCCAAAAAACCCTGCACTTAGATCTTATCTCTTAAGATAGTTGACTGGATGCCATTAGCTGCTTCCCAAGAGTTTCCAGTACGTACTGTCATGGTTCTGAGCTCACTGAACTGTTTAATATTAGCATACCTTGCCGCCTTGAACTGTGCCAGAGGAGATGCAATTAGAGTCAAAGTATGGTAGGTGAAGCACCGTGAAGTTGTTTCAGGACTGAATTTTGCTCTGGTACTTGAAAAAATGGAAATCTTGGGGGGGAAAAAACCCGCTTCATTTGAGGAAAGAGAATGAAAAAGATTGAAGAATGCTATCTGTATCTGGAGTAGTTCTTAAAATCTCATTTCTTATTGTAAGACAGGAGAGCAGTCTGTATTAATCTTCTTCTTATTAAATGTTTTGAGAATGAAAGTATAAAAACATGTATGTCGTGAATATTTCTTATAAATGTTTTGGAAAGTATTGCACTTCCCAGAATATTATTTTTTGTGTGCTTTTAAAAGCAACCAAACCTATGAGGTTGGGTGTGGTGGGGGGAACATTCCTGAAATGTGCCATTTAAGTGAAGCTTTTTATTTTTCCAGCATTGATTCTTGTAAAAGAAGAGAAGAGGGGGAAAAAAAAATAAAGTGAACAAAAACATATATTCGCTACAGGGAGTACAGCAGAATTTTCCTAACACTTCATACTTCTAATAATAGGCATCAGCCTCTGTCAGCTCTAAAATGCATTTCAGTTCAGACTCCAACTTTATTTCACATATGCCTTGCAACCTCTAAAGTTGGAGTAACATGAATTGCAACTAGAGGCAGAAATTTTGCGTCCTGTGCAGTGCATATAACATTTCATTGTAAATGAAATTTACAGCGGTGGGAGGTGGGGGTGAATGCAGCGACGTGCCAGCCAGTATGTAGCGGCTGAGGTGCGTGTGTTCAGGGCTTACGTGGTGTGGAGGTAAGAGATATCCCGGCTGATTAAATTGCTGTTGTTGTTAGGTGGACTCCAGCGAGGCAGATCTAGCGGATGAGTCCACCTTCGACTCGCAGTACTCCCCGGACAATGACAGCACCTTCCAGGCGTCGATGCTAGCTCTGCGCGGCAGCGCCTGCAGCGATGAGCTCAACTATAGCCTCTCTCTGCCGTCAACTCCCAAGGTAAAAAGGAGAACGGTTTTATTGATGGCAAACCTTGGTTATGACTGTGAAAAGGCTCAGTGCTTCTGTGTGGCAGCTGTATTGTTAGATGTGAAGGCGTAAAGTTGTCACAGCTCCATCGGCATGTACTTTTGTTACCGGATAGGCTGCAGTTTTGTTTCGGGGTAGCGTTGGTGCCTTTCGGAGACCCGCGCTGAAGAGAGTGGCAGCTAAAAAGTTCAAAGTTTGGGCTGTGTTTTGTGTAGTCAGGTAAAGTGCTGTGAGAGTATTTGCACTGTTAAAATTGTGGTGAGCGGTCTGCTACAAAAGGGTCAATTATTATTACTTCAGCGCTATTAAAGATCGGTTGCACAAAGTAAATGCAATACTCCACAGTATTTTAGCCATAAAAAGCAAGAGCAAGTTTTCATCGTAAATTTTGCTTTTGTACTATGTGGTTAGAGTATTTGAGAGCTTACAGTGTTCTTGAAACAAGTGCTCACAATGATACTGTAACTAAAAGTACATCTGTAGCATTTCAAACCTCTGGATGATAATTCGTTAGTATTTAAAGTCAGTAAATGAAGGTAAGCTCCTTAAGAGTGTTTTTGTTCTTGCCAGTCACGTACCTGTGTTGAATTGGTTTTTATGTCAGTAGCGATGCTTTGTTTCTCACATGGTTTTTCTTCCTCCTTGCTGTTGGCAATCTACAGATTTATTTCTCTAGTCCAGAGTCTTTAAAGTCATTTCCTCCAGTATTCATCGTCTCTGAAAGCAGCAACATGGAACTTGCTTCCCGGGTTCTCACTAGCGTGCAGTCTTGCAGGGAGTAGCTGCCTCTTTTTCCTCCACACTTGAGGCTCAGTAGCTGTCTTTATCCTTTCTGGACTGCGTTCAGCCCTCGCAGGGCGCTTGTCTGAAAGAAGAGTTCATCCTCTAATGGGCTCTCCTAATCCACAGCAGAGCACATCTTTGCTGTGGCAGTGGGACAGCTTGCGTTGTTTAACCCTGTAATTGTTACTTAAAGGGATTATGCGTTTTGCATGCTGAGAAGCATTTTATGAGATAGAGACTGGATTTACATTCCGTATAGTGCTGAGGTTGTCAGAAGTCTTAAGTTTTATTTTCAGTATTGACTTGAAGAAGGCTTTTACTCACTTTTTGTTTTTTAAGATCATGGTCCTGACTTTTCACTGTTTGTCTTTGTGGTGTCATTTGAACCGTTATGAACTGAGCGTTAACTTCTCATCACATAACATTTTTACTCTCTGTAGAGCCATGAATGGCTTTATGAAGTAAACATAGTGAGGAAATCAGTCCTTAAAAAAGACTTTTAAAACAAATGAGAGATGTGCTAAACCAAAAAAGTGCTCTTAGGTGCTATGAGGAACGCAGAGGCATTTCAGCTATTTCTGGTGATAAGGACGGCTGAAACAGAGGCTCTGAGTGCCTTTGCTGTCGCTTTTGAAAGGGGTGATGAAAAAACA